TACTCTCGAGAATCTTCTACAACTTTGGAGATTAAGTGGGAGTTTCGCAATACATATTTAACAGTATAAGCCATGTATGTTTCTAAATAAAAATTTAATTTAAACAAACATTGATATTAAAATAAATATATAATCACAAAATCGTTACACTGTTAACAAAATGTATCTACAAAACCAAAATGTTTCTGGTACTGTAATTAAAAATATTTATGTCTATTCTTTTGTGGGTTAAGTGCAAAGGTATCTGCGCTGACTCCATCGTAAGGACTGAACTTCAATTTTTAACGTTTATAAGTCCCCAAACTTACCACTTAACAACTGGCGTCAGTCATATCTGAGCCCTGCATATTTTTTATACTTGAAAACAAAACTAAGTTCAGAGTTAAAGGAGGCGAAGTTAGTGTGTTTACATTTGACAGAACAGTATCTTTAGTACATTTATTTGCCTAACATAGAGCGTCATTCACTTTCTCAAAGTATGACGAAAATAAAAAAAAAATCATACTTAAATACATACGAAGAAAAATTAAGGAAAATTAGATTTTTTGTGTTAAGAAAAGAAAGTTAGTAGCATTATGCTTTCTTATTAAAGTATTTATATGTTATTAAACTTATTACTCGAACTACTGTTATTCAAGTAATGATTATCCGACCTGAAACATTAAAGAATCGCCTGGCAAGAATATCTATTATACTTATAATTAGTGGTTTACAATCTGCATAAAAGCAAATCTTTCTGAGAAAAATTACACCCACACAAAGAAACAATAACTAGGTTAGAAATTTACGTATTCATTTCGTTAAAGGTGATGCATCGTCTTTTAAAGCCAAACGTTTTCTTGTACGGGCGGTATTTAAACTGATTATTTTCCTGTAATCAGATATTTAATCAACTAAACTAGCGAGTATCAAACAGAGAACTTTTAGTTTTCACTTCATTGGTTATTAAGGACAATGAAGTATGAAGTGACTTTTGAATTAGACAAATCCGCATTTTAGTTAGCTAACGCACTTGACAGGGAAGTAGGGGCGGAGGCTAGAATCCGAAACAGCTGCAGTTCGCTTTATCAGAAAGCTGAATAATTATCGTCCTGAATAAAGTGTAATATATATAAATATATATATGATACAGATTTATTTTCTTTCTCACCAAATGTAAAATTGAAAAGAGAATATGTGACGTAGAAGCCTAATGTTTTCTTTGACTGGCCGTACCCTCATCAGCACAGCTAATCAGTATTCTACAACACAGATTCTATTTTTAATATTACATTTAGTGAGAAAAACATAAAAGGCTGTAACATATATATATATATATAACCATTAAATAATTGATCCGATATACAATATGGGATAATGATTTAGGCACAAGTAGTAACACTATTCACACACCTAAATTATCTTAGGTTACTTTATTGGTGATTAGAAAAGGACTAATAAACATCATAAAGTAGAAATATACTTCAAACTATGCGTTGAGTAGCCAGGATGTAATGGT